ATATTTATTTATATTTATATATTTAATAATTAATAATTTATAACTTGTAACTCATATTTAACAAGATTCTAATATATTTATAGTGTAGTTGAATTATGTCCATTTTTTGTAGGATGTAAGAGTAAGTATAACTAAGTGTTGTTTCATTACATCACCTGAGATAAAATGCATTTGAATAAAAACATGCTTTAAAAATAGGTGAATTTCCAAATTTACATGCATCATTTGCAAAGCTGGGACCTGTACCCATATCACTTTCCTTATTCTTATGACATAAGGACAGTTTTTTTAGGATACAATGAAGAAAAAGCTTAAGTGAAGCCAACAGTTTCAGAGAAGTCTATTTAACAGTAACTACTTGATGTAATTTGCATTTAGACAGAATGTCGAATAGAATTAGCCAACTTTTTGTGTCTGTAGCATCTTAACAACTCAGAATTTCATTTTAGCCTTTTAACAAAACTCCATGTCATATGGCTTCAGATGACTGTCTTAACTCTTTTTGTAGGTAATACTGATATGGTCATTAGAGTTTTGCTGGATGCAGGATTTACAAATGAACTTGCCCAAAATTACTGGAGTAAACTGTCTCTGTAAGTATTCTTTTTTAAAATAATATATGTGTGTGTGTGTTTGTGTGTATATATATATGTGTTAATGTTTACACAGGGTAGATATTTAATTCACAGTTATGCATTTAAATAGCAACCCTTGATATAGAAACATGTGAGAATTTCAGTCAGTTTTCATCTTAAACCTTATTTTTGTTTACAGTGACGGAGTTGTTGCACAATTTGTTGTTACAGATGGTGGAATTACTAGAGTGTTCCCAAAAAGGTAACGATTATTATAAAATAGTATAATGTGATAAGTTTGAAACCTAAAAGGGTGGAATGTTAAATAATGGATTTCTTACACGAAAAACAACTTCTCCTACAGTCTAATCTGTACTGATAGCTATGAAATGAATGAGATGTCTTGTTTTTCTTTGATTTTACCTATATCTCTGCTTGAAAGCAATCTGCAGCATTATTTCCATAGCAGGTCCTTGTAATCCAAGTTTCTAATCAGTGTAGAGTAGCAGTAAAAGCAGTGCCCTTGCAGTAACAGTAGGGTCCTGCTAATCCCTAATCGCTCCGAAGCACCCATTTGTTTGGCAGGCTGCAAGCGCTGTAAAGCAGTAGGCAGCTTTTTTTTTTTTACACTAATAAGAGCAGACCAAATGGTCCAGGGACTTCAAGAGAGAAAAATGTACCATTACTAGAGGGCAAAAAGGGAATGTGAAAATGGTTATAAAATAAACATCCCCATCAGTGACTGGGAATAGTGAGGGCACCAGTACAGATATACTGGTAGATGGCAAATTTATCTATTTTCCTAGGTTATTCTGTGTTTCCTCAGAATGAGAGAACACCAACAAATTTTACTCTCAAAATCAGTTTGTTTTGGTTTTTGTTTTGGTGTTATTAATGATATAAAATCTTTTGGGATGATTTCTCAAGAGATAGCATGTGTTATAAAGATATATATTTTTATATTTTGTTGTGCGTATTTGTCTCAATATATCTAAAAAATATGAGATGTGATCCATGTTGTTCCAAGAATGCTATTTTCTTTTTATCCGAATTTTTTTTTAATCATGACACCTGGCAGTTAACCAGTGAAAGCTGACAAAGTCTGAGGACTATATGAATGAATCTCTCATTATTTCCAACTGTGAAATGTTAAAAACAAAAACCTGCAGCACAGCTTTAATGAGACTCTAACTATCTTTTTTGATTACTATTTTTTTGTGATTAGGGCAGGAGAAGATTGGTCGGAAAATGCTGAAACTTATGAAGTCAGCTTCTATAAACGGAGTTTAGATAATGACAACTATATTTTCACAGCTCCATACTACAACAGTAAGTCATGACTGTTTTGAAATGTCAGAGCTAAGTGTACCTGGTGGAAGTTTCCCACACCGGTTGAGGTCACTGAAAAAGGATGCCACTGGGTTGCTTCATAAGGAAAAAAATCTTGGGTCATCACCCATTATTAAGGAAAAGGTAGCTACGAGGGCACTAAACAAGGGACATTATTCAAGTCATTGACTCTGGTGGCCCTGTATGCTCAGAATTACCAAAACTGAAAACATGCAGACTACTGGTGTTTATTTATTGTACTGAAACACTGTTTTACAGAGATGCTTTGGTAGAATTATTTTAAAAGGAAGTGAAATAAAATTGCGCTAGGGGACAATAACACTACCTAAAAAAGCCTTATTTGAGCTGAGTTCTGTATGGATCCTGAGCACCAAACCTAACCTGGGGGAGCAGCTATAAGGGTCCAGAGTCCACAGCTCTGTCTGCTGCACTGCTGCTTAATTTAGACTTTCCTTTTGAATTCTATTTCAAATTGCCGATATTCACCCAAACCAGTTTGTCTGAAATACTGTGATATTTAAAATCTACATACGCACAATAGTAAGTGATTATTACTGATGCAAGCAGCATTAACCTTGCCAAGCTCATCTAGAAGCAGATGCCACTGCATATGACATATTCCTCTCTTAAACATATGGGACCTTTTATTGCTGTTATTTCATACTTATTTATTGTATCTTTTCTCGATAAAATATTAACAAGGTAATTAACTGAATTCCCTGAGGCCTTTGTTGTTCCTCAAAGAGCTCCAGGGAATGTACTTTTAACTTGCTTTTTCATACTAAGCAGCGTTGAAAACAGGCTGAAGTCTGTCAGAGAAGTAATTGTTGGTTAGTGAGTGGTGTCAGTATACCCTGCATCGAAAAATACACAGACGACAGCAGGATAAAATCTTTGGCTCTGATCCTAGTTTTAACAGAGCTACTCACATGTGTAAAGCTATTCATGGCTCTGTTTGCAAAAGAAAAAAAAAAAAGGCTACAGTAACTTTATGAAGCAGTGAAACCATGTACGAAAAGTGAATGAAGAGAAGTAAACAAAAGTATTCCTCTTAGGCATGCAGATATTAGTGATCTGAGCTGCTACAGGTGATAAATGCGTAGTACGACTGGGTCAGTGCTTTTGAATAAGGAATTTTTTTAATCATTCTGGGTATTTGAATACTCACTAGTTTCCATTTCAGAGGAAGAGGCTTTTATATCACCCTAACCTTTTTTTTTTTCCCTTCTATACTCTCAGAAAGTGGTGCCAATAGCTATGAAACAGGTATTATGGTAAGCAAGGCTGTGGAAATAACGATTAATGGGAAACTTCTGAAACCAGCAGGTAAGAGAGAGTGGTGCTGAAACTCTAAATACATTAGTTTTCAGTTGTTTCTCAACAGTGAATTAGAAATTTAATTGAGATTTCAAAGGAACTTCACTTCATATAACATTATTTTCTCTGAGACTGTTTTAATCTTGCTAGTGGAAATCAAGCCAAAGATCTGGTTGTGTTTGAGTAAGAGTGCTTAATTTATTAGTCTCATGAAGGATGTTGGTGGTCAGACAACCGAGCAAAACTCATATTTCATCCTTTTCTAGTTTAATAATTTAGATGTTATTATATTTTTCCCTTTTTTTTAAGGATTCTACAGTTACCTTTTTCTTTTTTTTTTTTTCATTTTACTAAAAAAGACTTTCATGTATTTCTTGTTAGTTGTTGGAATAAAAATTGACGCAACCAGCTGGATGGAAAATTTCACAAAAACCACAATCAAGAGCCTGGTAAGCAACTGACCAACTCTTTTTTGAACTTTATTTGCATTTCTCAAAGCTTCAGATGCAAATAGGTCTAATGGCTCTTTGTGCTAGAGTCACACTGATGCATAGTTGCCAAGTAGTTGTGGTATTTAAATCATTCGAACGCACAAAATAAATCTATGTTGAAATAGGCTGTATTTTGTACGTGTCTTGCTTTCATAATTATAGAACATGGATAAAGACAAAGAAAAATGACATATTCCAGCCAGTAGGCTCCCTACTAAGATTACGCTGTAGCAGTGAATCAAATCTGCAAAAGAATTGGTGAATATATTTTTTTAATATGGAGGATGGGTAAACAGTGAACAGTAAGAATTTATATTGCAACCAACATCCCAACATTTTAACAGAAATTAATGAAATAGGTGCTTAACCCTTTCATTCTTTACATCTAATGCTTAGGTGTAAATGGGGAGGAGGAAAGGTTAAATGGAAAGGACAACTAAGGAATTATAGGTACATTGGGAAAGGAGAGGTACAAAAATAAGACAATTATGGAACAATTGGATGAGGCAGTATTGCTTGGTTGGTTGTATATTAATGGAATCGATCATAGTGTCTGGCCGTTGTAGGTATTAGATCTGTTGCTCAATGGGTAGGCAAATGCATTGCCTAAATGTCAGAACAGTTAAGGACAAAAATACATAACCAGAAAAGAGAAAGAAAGAGGAATATCTCAGAAATAATTTGAGATTAGACTGCAGCATTATCTGGTAGTTGTTTTGCTCGGGACAAAATGCGAGGAGACAGTTATATGTGTGTGTATACACATATTGCAAGAAAAAGAGAAAAACGTGTTACTAATCAAAGCCATAAAAGCGAACTGGAGATGTTGTGCTTCCTTCCTCACATGGGATTCCCATGCTTTGAGACTGAAGAAGCTTTTCATGATCAAAAAAGGTACTTGACAGCGTATTTTCTAGGCTTTCTTTCCACACCCCAAATGTGCATGTTCTTCTGCTTTTACTTTATACTCACAACACTGACATCCTGAGAAGTCCTCCAAACTATTTATCTTTAATATATTGAGCATACTTGAGTTATGAATACAGGTACTGAATACAGGTAGTTCACAGAGATATTGTGATAAATGGCATAGACTCAAAATTAATTTACATTAATATACAGAAATTGAAAATTATTCTAGTCTGCATTGATTAGTATCACTGCAAAATACAGTTTCTTTCGAAACATTTTTGTGAAGATTACTGTGCTTCTGTTTTTTAGTGCAACAGTGAAATCTGTGGCTGTGAGAGAAACAGTATGGTAAGAATATGTTCAGTTCATTAATATCTGTCAGATTATGAAAATTCACTAATTGTCTCTACATTTATCTAAGACAATGATTATTAACTGAGGGTTAATTTTACAGAAAACAGGACTTGATCATTTGTGTCTTGAGAAAGGTGAAATTTAGGAGGGAATAAAAGAGTGTATAAAAGTCAGGTGAAGTGATTGTTGCAAGAATCTTTGCAATGAGGTTATGAGAACTAGAGGGAAGGAAAAAATAGAGCAATAGGGAATGATGTGAAGAAAAATGTGAGAAAAGTATAACAGCAATTTTCAAAGCAAGAGGTGAATCCTGAGGAAAGGGAAGAACTTAAAAAAAACCCACACCAAAACCTGAGAAAAAGAACACTAGAAGTACCTTAGAGAAGGGTAAATGCAAACTGAAAAGCACCAGAGTACGTGATGTGCCCTTCAACAGTCATTAGTCATCCTCCTCTCCCCCGTTCTCCCAGATTTGGGGATCCCATGGCTCTGCTAGCACTCAGAGAGCACAGCTTCAGGGGCTGTCACAGTATCAGATTCTGCCATGTGCTTAAAAGCTTTCTCTGCTCAGGTCTTTTGTAGTTCTTTTGTGGAGTGTGAAGATCATTAAATGCAAGAGTTACAGCAAAAAGGGTACTCTGGGAGGTTATCTATTTGGCCTCACTGCTATCTCTCCAATCTCTTACTGCAAGGATCTTTTACAAGGTGCAAAGCGTAGGGAACCAGTGGGCTTCCCATTCCTGCACCTGACACCTGGAGGAAACCCACTACCCTTGGCAAGTGAAAATAATCATGACTAGCAAGCTGAGAGTCTGCCCTTAAGATTTTTACCGTTAAAAGCTGCAAATGGAAAAGGACTTTAAGCATGGCTGAAGCACACGAGAAGTTGTAGTCCCTTATTATGAGTTGAGATTCAATTATAATCAGATTTAATAAGGATATAGCACTCTTAGAGCTAACAAAGTATTGAGCAAATAAGAATTTACAAAACAACTTTTATGAAATTAAGCCACAAATAAGCCTTTGATCTGTACAAACTTTTATGATACTGATAATGCTACTTATTATAGCTTAATATTGGCCCTTGGCTATGGGGTTGTGATTTAGCCTGAGCCACATAGATTTGAAGATACTTCTGAAGTGTTGAATAAAAAACAGTTTCTTACAGAGTGTTCTCTTGACAAATCCTTCCTGCAAAACATATTTTACTTTCTTACAATAGCATGTGGACTGTGTTATCCTTGACGATGGTGGGTTTCTTCTGATGTCAAATCGGGATGAATATACGCAACAGGTATGTATATTTTTCAGGATAGAAAATGAAAAAAAACAGGTAGAAGATTTAAGAGAAAAAAACAACACTTCACTTCCAACTTACCCTAAGAAAAACATTACCAAATCACAAAATTTTTGCCGTATCAGAATTTCCAGTTATTTTGTTAGTCTTTTTCACAGTCTTATTTATGGTTCAAGATGCCATACTTCTACCAAGTTGTGTTCTTTGTTCTCTGCCCTTAGGCTGGTAGGCTGCCGACAAACCTATGATGGTGAGGGCAAGTAGTATGTTATACACACACCTTCCTTCTCATATTCCTCTTGCTCTTCCCCAAGCAGGGCGGTCTCATTGGTAGTGCATATAACAATTACTGTCTAACTGGAGTTCTCCAACCAAGCTTTTGGGAGAGCAGTAGTCAAACAAAGAAATAAATACCTCAGCAGCACAACTGGATGAGTTTTGCAGAGGAAAAAAGGCGGGGGGGGGCGGTGGAATCAGAAGTCTTCACTTTTTTATGAGAAAAATGTTTTAACTTATCTCTGTATATTCACCCTCATCAGATTGGAAGATTCTTCGGTGAAATCGACCCTGGCCTGATGCGAAACCTGATTAACATGTCCCTGTATGCCTTTAACAAGTCGTATGACTATCAATCAGTCTGCGATCCTGAAGAAGAACCAAAGCAAGGAGCTGGACTTCGTTCTGCCTATGTGGTCAGTAGTCTCTTGTGTGCAGCTGACATTCCCTTAAAAGTCTGCAGGTACAACTAATACAATCTCTGTTGTTTTTATTTCCCAGCCTACGATAACAGATATTTTGCATCTAGGATGGTGGGCTTCCGCAGCTGCTTGGTAAGTAGGAAATCTGTATGTCCAAACTAGAATTATTGAATGGGTTGAAACTGTATTAGTCTGTTGTTTTTGGGGTTTTTTTTTTCACTCCATAAAACTGCTCTGAACCCTTTGTTTCTGCAGTTTCTTATGGTGAAAATTCTTAGCTATGTCTCTGAACTCCTTGGAAAATTCATTGTTCTGTCAACAGTTGAGTTCAAAAGTACTCTTGTCAGGTTTTGTGATTGTGTGTTCTGACTCCACAAAATCAGCTTCAGGAAGCAGAATTGGGATTAATGGTCTAAATCTGATTGGCACTTGTGAAGGTTCAGATGAAATTATTACATTTAGAGTTATTGATCACTTGGTTCCCTATTTCAGAAGATCGCCTTTCCCCTTTTCTAGCAAGAAGTCTTAAGAAAATCAGTGTTTGCTTTTCAGTGAATCGTTTCACAAAAACACACAAAGCTACTCTATTACGAAATGTAAAGTAATCTTGCTTCAGACTGTAGGGTAACCAGTATGTTATCTGATGGCTCAGTTCACCTAAAGGTTCTCATGATAATTATTAGTTGGTTCTTTGAAATGGAATGTGAAAAACACTACTGAACCATTTCAAGGAAGAAAATGTATATAAAGCATGTTGGATAATTCTATAGTCATTGTCCTAGCATTTTCTATAGGCAAGGGGAAAAGCTGGTACATTTGAACAGTTGCAGAGTTTTGGGATTGACCTTGAGGCAGGCAGCATTGCACCAGTAATTAGGTTTATCTTTTGCAGTCACAATACTGGGTACATTTTAAAACTAAGTATCCATTTAGGAACTTTCTTGTCTTTTGACTTTGGTTTGTGCATTAGTAATAATAGCCATAAAAGTACTTTTACCTATTTCAGAGCCATGTAGATAGATACCCCTGTCGGCCAGTTACCCCAGCACCAAACTGGGATATGTAATTGGGACTGATGTGATACTCTCGCATTGAGGTGAATTGCACCCTTGGAGACTGTTCCTTTTTCTAAAGTTTCATAATGCTTATCTTTTATAATAATTATCAAGCTGGAATAAATTACCTACTTTATGAAGCTAAGAGTTAAAATACATAGCAGCTGAACAAACATATAGAAATTTTCTCACAGATAGCACTATGAAGAATCTATGTTGTTTTTTATTGTTGGTTACATTTTGTTAACAGCAACAACAAATATCTCGGTTTTCTTGGACAGCAAACCTCAAAAACTGGAGATGGGCAATAATCCAGAAGAGAAACTTGAGCTTTTCTCAAACAGAGAAACTTCAGTTTATCAGTGTCCAAATCAGACTCACTGGTCTGGACTCCATTTAGACCTGAGGTTTATTTTGTGTGATGTTTAACTTGAAAGCACCACATGAAAGTATTTTCTATGGATGTGTTTTTAATGGAATCTAGGTCAGAAGCAGGCAGAGAAGGCCATTAAGCAAGCAGAGTGAAAAGGGCTGACCAAAAATGGATTCAGTGAGGCACCTGGAAAAAGCAAATTCAGGGAAATAAGATAAACCAGGTTATTAAAGAAAACTATAGTGTTTCAGGCAACAATGTGGGATAAAAATGTGAGTGATAATTTTCAAAATTTATATGGGATACGTCAGCATTTAGTTAAGAGAGTATGTATCGTATCTCCTTCATGCTCTTTTAACTCAGAAGGTTTTACAGTTTTCCAAGGCTGCCTTTTTCACTTAGGTCCTTGTAAATTCTGTGGTAGGCCCTTACAAAGGGTTACTATTTTCTGTCAGCGAATTGCATCACTGTTGAATGGCATCAGGTCACTCTCATCCATGACAGTCGGTGCACTGTTCATCTGACGTTTCAAGGCACAAAGCTGTGGAAGTGAATCCAGAGCTCCTTCGGGCAATGCCTCCACTGGAAAGGTGACAGGCAGATTCAGTTATTTTACACATGGATCATGCTGAATAGTAAGAAGGAAAAATCTTGCAGGTTGAATAAAGTTATACAGTCCCTTTTCTCAGCAGAACGGGTGATGGAACACAATGAGATGAGGACAGATCAGGTCATATTTGTAGGTAGAAGCAAACTTAAAACATGATGACAGGAAACTACAACTTAGTAAGGTTTAAGCAGGGAATCAAGGAACCTAATTGTTGCAATTCCTGTGTTGACAGTTTGGTAGAGAAGAGGGACATGTATGTAGTAAACCAGTACTTGCTTCAAGTAAATAAAATAGGAAAAATATGATCATGAGTGAAGAAAAATAATTTGAAATAAATGGAGATCTTTAAGCCTAAGTATTTAGGTAACATCTAGAGAAAACTATATTCCTTACCTCAAGAAGAAGAAAAGAGGTGATTTTAAAAGTCAACCTCTACAGTAATAATTTTTATAATATACTTGTAATATTCCAGTATTAGTCTCCTTCTCAGCAATTTAATGTGCCTTAATCAGTGTAAAGTATCTAATTCAGGAGCATTTACCCTGAGTGTGTTCCAAAGGAGTTCTGGCTGGCTGAAGTGTTTAGAGGAACACCAACATGCCTCTTCCACCTCCTGCAGAGGTATAAAAGGAGGCCATGAGGAGGACGTGGATGGCCTGATAACATTTCCATTATGTGAGTTATAGGCAAAAATGGTAGCAAATCTCAACAGTAGAATAAAAGATCTGTGTGAAATAAGACCTGGGAGAAAGTGTGAAAAGCAAGCCACAGTCAAACTGTAAGGTTTAAAGAAACACAACTTTAGTAACAGGCAAAAGCATAATTAGCCATGATGATTCTGTTAATTACTCTTACTTGAGTAGTTTTGAAGGGTCCAGTAAACCGCAAAGATCGCAAAAAGCCTTTAACAAATATATGTTGTCTTTCTGTGTTCAGGTCTATCTTACAGCAGCTGTTTTTGAGCTTGACTTTTCCACGTTTCCTTGAGGCAGGTAAGTCCAGAGAATGTTAAAGAGTCAACTTTGAGTGAAGTAGAAGGTAAGAATCTAGGCTGGGGGCCATATTTGGATCTCCCCATTGTGTCTGGGACTTAAAAATGTCATTGTATATTTATTCATGTTCTTCTCTCTGTCAGCTGATATGGAAGATGATGATTTCAGTGCCACCCTGCCTAAAACAAGTTGTATCACTGAGCAAACTCAGTATTTCTTTGAAAACGACGATAAATCGTTTGGTGGGATTGTAGACTGTATAAACTGCTCCAGGTAAATTTTCTTCAATATAAATAATAACTTTTGGATATTCACTTATTTCACAAAAGATAATGACACTATTATAAGAACAAAAAATATTTTTTTGATTAATTACACTGAAGTTACATAAGCAAGACAGAGAAATATATAGACAGTAAAATGATAAATTGCATTATTTTTATATTAGTTTAGAATTAATTTCAATCATAATAATTAAAGAATTATAAAAATATTTTAGTCAAATTTTTGTTTTATATTCTGTATATGGTCCATGAAAATTGTATTTCTATCTCTGTTACAATTTGTTTTCTTTTAATTTATTATATGAAACTAAAGGCGTTCTGCAGAATTCAAAAGGAGATGATTTTCTTTAATCTGGTTATGTAGATGACGGTCAAGAAGATTATGTAAATTATCTTCAAATTTACCTTCTAGTCATTAGTGCTCATGATTTAAGAGCTGTGGGTCTTATTAAGCAAACCATGCTGTTTTCTTTCTTGATTAAAAGAATTACTCTTCAGCCTCCATGTGCCTATTCAAGATGATGTTTAATGTTATGTTAAAAAAAAATTGGATACTTCAGAAACATAGCAACTTGGACCTAATTCAGTGTTTCATACAAAAGCCTCCTGGGTTGAAAGTTTGCATGCATTAGGAGTTTCTGAAAATGTCTTACAAATCAAAATTAACAGTCATATTTCAAATGCCTTGAAGACAGTATTTCAAGCCAGGAAAGACGGAGGACAGTGGTGAATACAGTGAAATCACCCAGCCATTTTTTCCCACTTCCATACTTCTTCCTCCATGTTGCTAGTATGCGTTTTCCATACCACTTGGCTGCCTTTGACTCCAGTTCATATTGAAGTTCTAGCATGTCCGGCACGGCAGCGCTCAGTGGCGGCGTGACTTCATTCAGGCCACGATAGTCTGCTGTCAGTCTCCACTCACCATTAGACTTTTGCACTGGCCATACGGGGCTGTTAAAGGGTGAGCAAGCTACTCCCACCCCTGTTGACAGGCACAGAGATATTGGCAGCATATGAAGGGCTTTGAGCTCCTTCAGAAGTGGTTGGTACTGAAGCACAGCTCCTCCTGGCACCCCAGGAATTTTGGAAGTGATCATGGACTGGCCAGAAGGCAAAGATTTTGGAATACCACCAGAGAAGGAGGTTGCACATGCTGAAGAGGTCCCACATTGGGTGCCAAAACGGACAGTTCTGGTTTAACCCCAGCTGGCAACTAAGCATCACACAGCTGCTCACTCATTCCTGCCCCTCCACGTGGTGGGATGGGGAGGAGAATATAAAAAAAAAAGGGTAAAACTCATGGGTTGAGACAAAAACAGTTTAATAGGGCAGCAAGGGAAGAAATAATAATAATGATGACGATGATAAAAGAATATACAAAATAAGTGATGCACAACACAATTGCTCACTACCCACTGGCCAATGCCCAGCCAGTGCCCAAGCCATGGTCACCATGCCTCTGCCAACTCCCCCCAGTTTATATACTGACCATGACGTTTTATGGTAGGCAATATCTCTTTGGCCAGTCTGGGTCGGCTGTCCTGACTCCGTCCCCTCCCAGCTCCTTGTGCACCTCCTCACTGGCAGAGCATGGGAAGCTGAAAAGTCCTTGACTGAGTATAAGCACTACTTAGCAACAACTAAAGCATCAGTGTGTTATCAACTTTATTGTCATACTAAAACCAAAACACAGCACTATACCAGCTATTAGGAAGAAAATTATCTGTATCCCAGACAAAACCAGGACATATATATATGTGGATATTCAGGATCTGGAAAAGCTCAAGGAATGGGCCTGCATGAACCTCATGAGCTTCAACATGCTAAAGTGCAGGGTCCTGCACCTGGGTTGGGGCAACCCCCTGTATCAGTACAGGTTGAGGGATGAAGGGATTGAGAGCAGCTCTTCCTAGAAGAACTTCATAGAATCATAGAAACATTAAGGTTGGAAAAGACCTCTAAGATCATCAAGTCCAAATGTCAACACAACACCGCCACGCCCACTAAACCACATCCCGAAGTGCCATGTCTACACGTGTTTTTAACGCCTCCAGTGATGGTGACTCCACCACTTCCACGGGCAGCCTGTTCCAATGTTTGACCAATCTCTCAGTAAAGAGATTTTTCCTAATACCTAGTCTAAACCTCCCCTGGCGCAGCTTGAGGCCATTTCCTCTTGTCCTATCACTAGTTACATGAGAGAAGAGACCAACACCCACCTCACTACAATTTCCTTTCAGGTAGTTGTGGAAAGCACTAATACACGATACACAGCATACATACCCTAAACCTCTTTCTTTCCCTTCTTACAGACAAGTTTATGTGTTGGGGTTTTGTTTGTTTGTTTTTGTGGTTGAGGGTTTTCTCAGTGTTTTTAGAGGAAGAGTTGATGCTGAACTGATTTTATTTCTCAGTACAGCTACTGCTGTAGTGATACAGTGCTAGCTGTTAACTCAATTAAAGTCATTCTATGCTCTTTTCCATTTTTTCCGGTAATAAGTCTAGCTGAAAGGTGGAACTATGGAAATGTCAAAAAGATTACAAAATGTTTTATAAATGTTTCTTGGCTGTTCATTAATGGAAAAGATAAACAGTAGCAGGCAGACTGAATCTGTGAAGTTGGATTACTTTTTATTCCAATACTGTGTGTCCTTCTCAAATACGGATTTCCTTGCTTCATTTAAACATAGGTTTTTGCTGGCTTTTTTTCCAGACTTTATCATGCAGAGAAGATTTCAAACACCAATCTAGTATTCATTATTAGTGACAGCCAACTGCTGTGCCGCTCCTGTGACCCAAAGCCACTGATGCAAGCAGAGAAGCCGGGTATCCTTTAAAATCACATTATTTATTAGTGTGGATTGATTTTTGGCTATGATATACTGGAATATATTTGGTAAAAAATGGCCTGTTTATGTACATATTAGTAGCATGCTTACCATTGGAGTACTTGAAGCAGCAGATATTTGTGGACGGTATCACAACTGATCTGAGGCAGCAGTCTCTGGGATAGAGAGCAAAGCTGTTATTTGTGAGGACGTAAACAGAAATGGGCTCACAGGAACTTAATGAAGTTTTTAAAAGGCAGATGCAAAGTCTTGGATCCAGGACAGAATAATGACATGCATCTGGACAGGCCAGGGGCTGAGTGACTAGAAACAGCTACGCAGAAAAGGACTTGAGGATCGTGATGGACAAGAAGTTTAACATCAGTTGTCACTGTGCCTTGCAATAAAGAGGGCCACTCACATCCTGGGCTATGTTAGCAAGAGTGTAGCCAGCAGGTTGGGAGAATTGATGTGCGTCATCGTTTCAGCACTGGTGAGATCACATCTGGAGCGCTGTGTACAGTTTGAGGCTCACCAGTACCACACTGACATACTGGAGGAAGTCCAGTGAAAGGCCACCAAGGTGGTTGGCAGCTGGAGCAAGGGGAGCCTGAGAGTCCCGGGTTTGTTCAGTCTTTAGAAAAGACAAGGGTGTATCTGTCTAGAGAAATAACAAAAAAGGGCAATGCCAAGATAAAAGTGTTTGATCATGAAATACTAGGATACTGTCCTGATGCCTGCTACACTGAGGCAAAGTGATGGAGGCACTTCAGCATGTGCTCAGTGCCAATGAGAACTGTTTACTCCTTGTGGAAATTGCTTTAACCACCGAAAGCTAGAGTTTATCCAGCTGCTAACATAGAATTTTTTCAGAGCTGTCTGGAGACATAGGATGGCATACATGCCAAGCAGAGTCCTTGCAACACATGCACTAAAATTAAAAACTTGTGAAAGGTTCTTCTAATTTACAACCACCTTCATGTTGATCTCTATGCCCCAAGCCTGTTCACTCCAGTGGATACATTTAGGTGGTGGTGATGGAAACACAATAAAAAAAACACACATTTACTCTAGGCCAGGAGAAATTCACCTCAGTTCTTTTCTGCTATATATGCTTGAGGATAGCATGCCAGAGATGGCAAATCAAATCATAATTTGGATTACTATGACAGAATGTGGAAAACAATTAGTAATACCTTTGTCTATGTCAGGAAGTTAGCTGAGACAACCTCTCCCATTCCTGAAAGAAAAGCAGATGGTGGTAAAGATGATTGTGTTTCTTTGGCACAAGCAACACGTTCACTGCCACATTAATAAAACTGGAATTCCATCTACGCTTGGGCTGAAAAGGAAGTTACATTGGAGTGGAAGCAATATCCATGTCATCACAGAAGTATGTAAACACAACCTAATATTCTAATTGGCTCCAGGCCATGACAGTTTGATTAACTGTTGCCACTGTCTGAATTTATAGACAGCATTTGCTATAGAAAATGAAGCACGTTTGATGGAAGTGGGCACGTTACTTGCATTTCCTTGTGGGGCCCCAACCTTCTAGAAAGCAGTAAACGACCTCAAATGGCAGCCAGAGCAGCTGGGTGGGCTTATATTGGCTAAATGAACTATTTCATGTTTGTTCCAGCTATGCGTTACTAAGCTATACTCTCTGTTCTCTAACTAAGGTACATTGTGAGATGCAGATGTAGCATAACATCACACAAGCAGGCAGAATGACCTTTGGGTGCTATTCAGATGGTCATTATTAGACTCTGCTTCCTTCTGGCTGGTACAGCTCTGCTTGTGCACATGGGCTTTTAGAACATTTCTACGTTTCAACTTCCCTTTCAGCTGGGCCCCGGCAGAGGAAAGGGGAGGTGAGCCTGAGAACATCTGAATGAAGACAGATGTAGATCTGTAGAACTAAATTCCCCGTCCTCTTGCCTTCTCGTCCATTGGGCATCTCCACTCGTTGCAACGAAGCTGCCGTGCTACTCCACAGGAGTGCATGAATAGGCTTACTTCAAGTATAAGTTAGAGCTACTAAGTAAAGTTTTAGTGCTCAATTTTTTTAAAACACTCTAGCTTAGCTTTAATATGTGTACTACCAACAGTGGCATAAAAAAAGCTTAACATACTGAATGGTAATATAAACGGGTTTCCACTGAAGACAGTTTTGCAGTTTACCATATCCGTGCCTTTCAAGTATGCTGCAATGACTTGTGTCCCTTGTGAGCCTGCGGCAAATGTGAAGTATAGTGTTTACACTTAAATATCAGCAATCACAGATTTCAGAGGCGTAAGCTAAAGCATTACTTCACATTTACAGTTAGCTAATTAATAGCGTGTCACTGCTCCCATTTCTATCCTGCTGTTTTGCTGTTGGTTTAGGCAGCATTTTCTCTGGCTCCCATCATCACTGAAACGCTAATGAGATCTGAGTAGGTTTTCTGTCATTTACTGTCAAACCCTACAGTGGGATGATCTTGTCTATGATATTTGGGGTAATATAGGTGTACACGTAATAAAACTGGTTGTTCTTATAGGCCTTCACTGCAATCTTCAGCCTGTATATAACAACACTTTTCCAAAGAGGCTTCCTCTCTTTTACTGTGTATCTTCCTTTTAGCAGAATAACTCAGTAGTAACATATGCTATAACCAATCAGCACCATTGAAAACTTACTACTTTATCAAATATTTCCTGTAATATTTATGCAATGGTACTAAAAGCTATACAGAAAATCTTAATTTTAATTTTTATTCTGTGTACGGTTCTGGAATTATTGGTTCTAAAAAGTCATGCAGGAGGTTTATTTTCTTGATTAAAGCAGTGTTAAAAAAGAGGTATTTGATTTTGATTTATCTGATGGGCTGGTTTGGTTTTCTTTAATTTAAGCAAGGAACAGTGACTATTGATGTTTATTTCAATACTATTTGAATTAACATAAAACTTCTCTTCTCCCATGAAAGTAAAAACAGAATGTTAGTCCTGCTAATGCACGACGCACAAAAAAACCAGTCATGCTCCTTAACCAGAGAAACAGATGAAGGGCCAAATCCTTGTGAGATGGTCAAACAACCTAGATACAGAAAGGGTCCTGATGTCTGTTTTGATGAAGCCAAACAGGTAAAATTGAATTTGTAAAACTTTAGGACTGTCTTCAAAAACAATTGTAGAGCTGTTTTAGAAGAGCAGTGAAAACTATGTTTAAATGTACCTTGGCGCCTGGTAACATATCTGTCACTAAACATACTGTTCACTCTAGACCGTAGCCACTCTATTTCGAGAATACCATGATTGACATAAAATTAACAGCTGCTTTCTTATCTGCTTCTCCTATAACCATTGCGCTTTCACACATGATTCTCACTAAAAAAAAACATCAACAAGCAGAAAACTGATGGTCTCTGTACAGTGCTGGGAAATTCAGTTCTTCTATGGCTTTCACAAATAGGTGATAATCCTGGCTTAGAAGTAATATTTTTATATTAGTGCTTTCAAATATTATTTAAGGTGTTGTTAAATGATTAAAAACTGGTTATCTGGTTTAGGATGTAGTTCCTCTTAGAAATCCTGCAAATGTGTACTGATCTTAGGTCACATTCTTAACAGTGCTTTACTGAAATCAGTAAAACTATGCTGTTTAGTACTCCCTGTATTGTATATATTACAGTTTTGAAGGAGAAAAATTAAAACTGTGCCACATACATAATTTATTTTGAGTATAGTCTCTGTCTTATGTTTCAAAATATAGTATGAAAGGGAATACGTTGAATTCAAATTGTTCAGAATAAACTTCAAGACAAAAAGTACTGAACAGGGAAGTACCTGCCATTATATAAAAAAAAAAGAGAAGTTTTTGTAATGCCTCATCCCATTCTGCAAAAGAAAGGTTGTCCAAAACTAGTGCAGTTAGTTGGCTATAACTGCTGTATACCAAGTTTTGATCTTGGTATGAAACAGCTATATATTCTCTGCTTTTCTTTTATGAAGCACAATTACTGAGATGTTGGTAGTGTTAAAAATGTCCAGACAGTTGTTATTCAATGCATTTTTCTAGTAACCAAACTGTACTTTAAGAAGGAAGTCTTCTTACTGGCCAACAAAGGTTAAGCAAAGTTAAAAACTATCCAAAAGCTATTTCGCCATTGTAAATATTCCAAATCCTCCTGACACAATTGTGTGTGAAAGTACAACTCTTGCTCACTAGCTTGATGTGCTAATCAGTGTGTAAGTCATGTGTTTTGTAATAGTGGATTGTTTTGGTTAAGTTTATTTGCAAAATTTGCTGTGAATCTCTTGCTCTTGGGTGGATGCTTTCACATTAACTCTGCTAACTGCCAGCAACTGCATGATATCTCATCTTGTATGTCTTTTTTTCTGTGTTTTCTTTCCTTTCCTCTACTTGCTACTTTGCCTGTTATTAATAGGATCAGCCTATATGCACAACGAGTCGTGCCTCTACCATGACGTCCGCTCCTATCTTCATTTTTCTGCAAGTTTTCATGTGGTGTGGATGGTCAGTTACTTTCTCTAATTTTTTGTTTCGTTCTTGGCTTAAAAAAATAGCAGACTTTTTTACTTACTAAGCATACAAAAGGAAATAGAATGAAACGAGTCCCAAAAGCAACAATCTGGAGCAAGTTACTATTGCAATACTAAGGGAAATTAAATATGAAAAAACCCTCTCTGGAGCCTTATAAATCAGAAATTCAGAATACAAGGGCCTGTCCCACAGCAAATACAAAGACACGGGAACCTGTTGGGTTTGTCTGGTCAACTCTTTGAGACTGCACTTGTACCAACTCAGTCAGTGTCATGGACTTCAAAACATTTTCCCTTGTCCCTGTTAAAATGAAACAGAAGAAGAAAGTTTTCTGCACAAAGACAAACAAAGGTGATTAAAACAAAGTAACTAAAAGAGACTGTATTACCTGTGAAAATAAAGCTGTACCTTGGGACAGAAAGAGGAGTGCTCTGTCTAAGAATAAGGGGAGTGTTGCTACTGAGAAGAGTAAGGGATTTTCACCGCATTCACTTTAACACGAATGTTAAAGACTGAAGGAAATAGTGTGCATCAATTTGGTTAAACTATGAATTGAATAAAATCGTACTTTTACCTTTTAATTTTTTTGCAACCTAAACATATTCACTGTCTAATTACAGCAGAAGGTGGGTTTTTTCTTCTAATGAAATATGTGGATATATGAAGTTCTGCATGTTGACCTAGTGCAGACTCTGGGGTTCATAACGAAAGCCTGGGCATTTTAGCCAGTGTTGCATTTAATGGTGTGAGAGTGTGCACTGCTGTGCTAGTGACATGTACACAAAAGAACTGCTGATCTAATGAGAATAAAATTCAGGACCTTGTACACTGCAGGGGTTTCTGATCAATATTGTTGCTCAGAAAACCACTAGAGGGAGATACTAACATATCTATCAAAGTAAAGCCAACTGAGAGGCAGAAATGGAACCTTAGCAGTAATTTTTCAGTTAGTGTAGTAAAATATTAAAAATTGTATCAATTTAGAGCACTCAAATTTTCAGTAATTTATACTCTCTTTATACTTGGGGTTCAATTAATATCACTTGAACATCAGTGAAAAAAAGCTTAAAGTTCTGTTTAACAGATGTTTTTGAGTAATTTTGGTTTCCTATTCTGAATTTAAATGATCTAATTTCTAGCAAACCCAGGAACTTGCACAGACATGGCTGAAGGTTGTAAGGAAGGGTGAAAGTCCCTTCCCCCAAGCTAGTGGTATTTCACATTAAATCTATGAGATTAACATCTCATGTCCTTACTCATGCAATTTGCTCTGCAAGTAACCTTATTTTAATTAAAAAGCTACTGTCCAATGTACGTAAAGCAACAGAGACTCACCTTGAGTGGAATTCTTCATGTCCAAAATTGTTCTTTCTGCTCAAGAAGGCAAAGCAAAATACTGGGAAACTCACAGAATATAATTTTAACTGATAGACTTTTGACAGCAGAAAGTTCTAAAGATAATTTTGTTCATTCATCCTTTTTTTAATAACTTTGTGATTTGGGAAACGGGTTCTCACTGGACATTGATATGTGTAATTTTATTAAAATCGCTGAAGCCAACACAGCTATAAACCAGCTGATCAGGTTCAATAACAACAGCTTTTTTTTTTTTAATCAAAGATAACAAAATAATCTTTATCACCCCCTTGAATAACTTGCTTTCACGTTGCACATGTACACTTTTTTTGTTTGCCATGCCTGAGAATAAGGAGAACTCTACAAGTTTTTAGCTCCTTCTAGGAATGTCTTATTTCTGTCAGCTCCCAGGGATGGCAGTGGGAGCTTTGGGGGTGATTAGCAGCCCACGGCTGTGTCCCCAGTCTGTGTGTGTATAGCTGTACAGCTTTGACAGCTTTGTGTGGTAGTCCAGGCAAAGGATGATAACATAAAATTTATGAAAGACCATGCACTGGAATTTGAAATTACTCTTGAGCAAAAGCAAAGGTGTTCTCCATGCAATATGAAGCATTTAAAAGATATGCTTATAAAAGGTATAAATTTGAGGTAACCAGGTGATATCAAAGGGCAGATCAGAAGCTCTTTGGCAGATATTGTTGTTTTATGCTTTTTTTAAGTCATTGTAGCACAATGGGTCCTGATAAATGATAAAGGTTTCAAGACAAAGTTCTAGTCCATTAGTTACAGTGTACTTCTAAAGGAGTAAGAAATATGTATGTAGACTTAGACATGTATGTGTGTGTGTGTGTGTGTGTATATATGTATTTATATTTCCATGTGTGTCTTTAAAATTCTGGACTGGCATTGCCTTCAAGGAAATGTTGATATATAGCAATATGTGGGTTTGATACTTAGCAATGAATATATGGTTTTATAAAAGCATTCATTTCCATTCTGCAAGTGGTGAATAATTTTCACAGTGTGTGATGTTGTAAAATAACCCTCTCTAGAGATATCATAGTAAGCCATGACATGAAGGAGATGACATTTAGATTTGACGCTCCTTTACCTCAAGCACACAAGGAAATTTGACATGTGACATTAATGCCAGAAATTTCTGATACACGTCTGTTGAAATGAAACTGGATAAAGAGGATTCTTTCCAATTTCTTTTCCAATTCTTTCTTTCTTCAAGAAGAAATAGCATGCAGTATATTATTTTGAAGACAACAAGGAGAGGACACCCACAACTGACCTCTTGTTTATTCAAGGTTTCTGTGTGACTAATGTAGTAGTGACTAATGTAATGGGCTGGAAAATTTCAGTGAAACTGCTTAAAAATAGTTCAGTGTCTAATTGCACTAGCAGAGGTAAAAATAAGATAAGGTACAGATAAGATAAAATGATGCTGTGTAATTTATTATAAGAAATTTTATAAGAAATCTCAGAAAAAACATTTATAGGAAACAGTTGAAAAGTTTCTTAAAGCTCAAGAATAGGGGAAGTATTTTCAAAAAAGACATTTTGAAGACCATTCAAAACCGATGTTTTGCTCATCTGGTTCCAAATTAATGATGGGATTCCACTCATTTCCATAAAACTGTTGATTTTTTTGAATTTATGTAAATCATCATATTATCAGACTTTCTCCTCTTTTTTGCTTTTTTACGTTTTTTGTAATTTTCAAAAAAAGTTAAAGCACACAAGAAAATTATAATGTGCAATGCTGGAGAGGAAAAAGTAATTTAGATAGGGTTTACTGTACCTTCCTTGCCACTACTATTTTTGTCTTGGCTTAGGACACAAAAGAATAACTGATGCCAGAGAGACTATTTAGAAATTGTTCTTGGCAGAACTGCTGGTTTACCACTGTAAATTGGTCTACAAACCTCAGAAATTCAATGTCACTTTGATCAATATGAGGTTAAAATCTCACCAACCTCGAAATATGTGTGTAAACCTTGTATACTTTTGTCTAGTACAGTTTAACACTGTCATTGATAATGAGAAGGTGCCTCTCCTGCGTGAGGCTTCCAAGACATACTACATTGTCGTGAAGTCTGTGAAAACTGCTCTGTGTAATCTTAGGGAAAAATTAAAGTATTTCTTTTCAATCCAATAGGAATATTACGTATTTTAATTGTTGAATGTAAAAGCAGTGCCCATAAATTATGATGTAGTTTTAAACAATATCTCAAAAAGCAAACAGAAATGGTCAACAGAACAGGTTTTTTTCAGCGGTAGGATTATTTCAACATAATTTACCCAATATTTGGTCTAATGCAGAGGTGACATGAAAGCTGAGTACTGTATAATTCACATGTGGAGGTCCTTCTACTCTGTATCCATACTAGATGACATTTTCATGGTAATGATCTTTTCCCCTTCTTATTATGCACAATTTTGTCTAAGGCCTTCAATTTACTTCTTGCTTTCTCTCCAGACGTCTCCCCTCTGTTGGAAAATTTTAAACCTTGTTCTTTGCTTTAGACTATTTCTTCAAAGATGACTCTTTGAAGTAATTTCAGTGATAAGAATCTTAAATACCAAGAGGTAACACTGAGTACTGTTCATTGAATTCGTGTGAGAGGAAACCTTTACTGATAATTCTGTTTCTGATGGTACTCACTGTGAGGAAGAAGCAACAGGGTTATTTTTAGGTCCTTTGAATAGAAATAAAGCTACATGACAAGACACAATGCAGATGCAAAAACTGACGGAGCCAAGCTAAATAAACCAGAAAGTTCAGTGCATCTTCAAATCTCAGCATCCTACTCCAAATCTGGTTCACTTATGACTTACTTGTTGACCGGAAGCCTTAGGAATGTTGAACTTGTAATCTGCAATCAACTGAAAAAAAAAACCTAAGCCAAAATTATGGAACTAAATTATAAAGCTAACAGATGGCAGAGACTTGTCTGGAAATGGCTACTATAGATAATGAGCAGTAGCTAACGTGACCTATTTGCCTTAGGACAGAGTGAATTTTTTTTCCTTCTTTTTTTTTAAACTTGAATTCTGCTTTTTGTTGATTTTGTTCTTTCTTTAATCCAAGTTTCTGAAGGAGACTGTTGGTGAATGCTATCATCCTGATGACTTATTGAACCTAATTTGTCTGCTTTATCTGATTTTCCATATATTTATTCCAAACTGATTTGGTTCCTCTGGCCTCTCTGCTTTAAAGAATGCATTGTGTGTGATGGGACTCATTAAAGTCTTCACTGCTTTAAACTGACACAAAGAACTCGTTGAAGTCCTCTGCTATGTCCAGTAATCCCCAAATTCCCTCTTTACACCTCTGTTATCAAGCAGTTGCCCTAACTCCATATTTGGCTTTGTGCTTTTGCTTGATTCAAAACTTTCTGCTATTGTTTTCAGCATATTTTGCGGGAAGGTCATAAAAAATCCTTTACCAACCCTCCTAATTTCCTGTTTATTTCTACTCTGCCATTTTTATGTGCTTTCCTGTCCTTGCCCATTTGTGCAAACTTGATTTCTTAAATACTGACCTTTTCCCTATGACAGCATACTTAATTTCCCTACTGATTCATGCAGGGGTGTTTCTTTGGTGTTTTAGGTTTGTTTGGTTTTGTGGGGTCTATTTTTGGTTTTTTTGGGGGTGCTGTTTTTTCATTTGGGACTGGGTGTTTCAGGGTGGGGGGTAGTGGGGGGTTAGTTGTTCTAACTGTGGATATATAATTTTACCTGGATATATAATGCAATATTTCTAAACATTCTTCTGGATCCTTCTGAGGGACTGACTTTTTGAGATGCTTCTAGTTTTTTTCCTGCTTTCTGTTTTTTCTTTGTTTGTTAATTGTTGTTTTGGGGGGGGGGGGGTTCTGTTTTCTCGGGTTTGGGGTTGGGCTTTTTTAACTGGTTTTGGTAAGTTTCACATAGTTCCCTTTCGTGAGATTGGTATCTTTTGTTTTGGATTTATTTGGCCTGATTTCTTACACAGTAATGCGAAGTCCTGTTGCAGTGTGGCCTATGGAGCTACTAGAGATATACTAGAGCTATACAGAACAGGTTTCTACTAATAATTTTGAAGAGGGCTTTGTGCACCACTAAAGATTCAAAGACTGTTTGTTCCAAAAGGCAGTCATTTATCATACCAAAAAATATGATCTCTACATCTCTTTTTGATAAGGCACCGATCCAGTCTATACGTGGCTCCTCTAACCTCACATAACATTGCATGATTGATATTGTCACCTTGATCAGGTAGTAAGCACTGCAATCCTAGTATTAAATTTTTATTATTAGACTCTGAAATTTCTTACCCACAGAGAATCCATCACACTTTCCCTTTCCTGTAGTAATTTTATTATATTACAGTGTGTATTATCCTTTACATACTACCCTTCTGCTGTATGTCCTACGCCTCCATTCTTACAAAGTTGGTTGCCTGACAATGCTCTGTCCTACTGGTTATTCTCCTTTCATCAGGTTTCTTATACGTGTATTATTTTGGGATGGTTCATTGATGACTTGTCTTCTTTCGCTCATCTTAATTTTATCTTCCTAGCATTGGTGCAGAAGCACTTGACAGTGTTTCTCAAGGATGTACTATTAAATTAAAGGTGTTTTAATGGCCCCTCATTATTTGTTCTGTTTGTACTTTCTATCCCCCTCCCCCAGCCTTTTCTGAGGCACGCTGTATATTAGTTACATCTGCTTCGGGGGCATGTCAGTCTGAACCAGGACCTGTTCCGTGCTTGTTGCCTTTCCTCATCTTTCTGTTCTAAAATGTTCTCATTTCTGTGCCAGCAGCCGGGCTCTGTTACTGTTAAGGTGCAGTCTGTCCTTCCCTCCACGCGTTCCTCCTGTTCCAGAAGTTTCTCCACTTCCTAATATGCCAAAGTCCCTTCCCACCTACTTTGTTGTCTTGTCCTTGGAAGCTTGGGTTCTCTTGGAAAATGGAAAGTGTCTTTTTATACTATGGGTACAGAATACAGTGAAGACAAGAGGGAGACCAAATATTGTCAGCCTTCAGAACTACCCATGAATCTCAGAATCAGCGGACAGAGCAGTGCAGGGGATGGCTGAAACATTGTCCTGGTGTTTTAGGCAGCTAACCATAGATTGTGTGAGTCCTGAGAAACAAGAAGGGGTAAAGATGTTAGAGAGTCCTGAACAAGTGTCAAATGTATTTCAGACAGGCTAATGAATAAGTCCATAATGTGAAAGACATTGTGCATTATAGGCAAGTGGGACCAAATAACAGCAACAGGTAAAGAGGAATGGGGAAAAGAGGTGAGGAAAAGAGGTGTGATTGCTGTGTGGCATAATGAATCGTTAGGTCTCCTAATGTGTGACAGAGTGGTGCAGCCCAGAGAGAGCCCTCAAACTGGAGGGTCTTCTCTACAGACTGCATCAAACGTACAAAAAGCTCACAGAAAATTTTGTTCTCCACTTGAATACAGCATCAGAGAAAGGATTTTCATCCCCTTTGATCATATCTCCAGCTGCAGAGCATATTCATTTTAATGTGTGATCATGTTGATGAAATGGACATGAACATATTCTGGTATTTGTTTTCTTATCTTGAAAAGTTATCTGTTCTGCCATCTTTCCTTGCAATGAAGTGATACTCAACATCTCCAAATTGATGTAATTTTAAGGAATATAGATGTGGTTTACTGGGGCCCTCAGGTATATCACATCGCATTTCTTGTTTGATTGTGTAAGTATCCCACCTAGTTCATGAGTGGCTGCAGTAAGCCGTGGAAGTAGTTAATCTTCCCATGCTTATAGTTAATGTAGTAATGACACTAACAGACTTCCAGGAATTATTTTGCTGTTATTTTCGGCAAAATAAAGTACGTACGACCACAAAGATGCCTCAAGGATAGTTCAAAATATTGAGGTCTAAAATGTAGATTACTTCTCAGGAAATTTAATTGTAATTAATGTTAAATGATTTCTTCTTTTCTTGTCAACAGGAGGATTCAGCCGACTGTGGTGGTGTCTCTGGTCTGAGTCCATCACTGTGGTCTATGGTAGGAATTCAGCTGGTCCTGCTTTGGCTGTTATCTGGCAGCAGACACTGCCAGTTATGACCTTGCTAAACAAAACCTGCATAACTTAATCAAGACCCAGCCAAAACGATAGCCTCAGCTTCATTTTAGAAAGGGTCAGCTATTCAGACAGCAGCAGAACAACAGTGCTCGTGTCTGGTTATCACTCGTTGTGAGACTCATAAAGGCGCTCACGGTGGCTGCATGCTGGAGTGTCGGATCCTTAAAAGTGTGTGAATGCTGCATCATCTATGCCACCCAAACAGAATTCTGTACGTGCTCCATTGGGGAAACTAAGATTTTTTTTTTTTCATTTGTTTGTTGTTGTAATCTTGATGACTTCATGTAAAAGGGCTCCCCTGACAATAGCTTATGTGTATGATTTTCATTTCTTTTAAGCTTTGGACATCTTGAAGATCTATATTCTTTTACATGAATAGTTATTTAAAAAAAAAAAAAGAAAAAACTAAAAACGTACTCCCCAATATACATTACTAGCACCATGATGGCTGCTTTGAACATCAGTTTTGTCCAAACTAGTTGAGTAAAATGAAAATATTGACTAGTCTTCATCAGAAGTTCAACATGATTGAAATGCTTTATGATGAGTGGTTTATTCTTCTGAAATGAATCATGTAGCCAGATAAGTTTTGGTACGTTGAAAATTGTTCTTTTAAAGGAAGTTTTTTAAAAATATAAAGGTGCTTGAGAGTTTAACTAAAAAATGATTCTCATCTTAAACTTGGTGTCATCTTCTGTCAGCAAAATGTTAATTTCAATGTAATATTCACCTTCTTTTCACAATGCAGTTATATATAAAGCTAGTCGAATCCTTCAAAGGTTCAAAAAAAAATGCTTGTGAATAAAAAATGTCTTTGTGATATTTAAACGTTGGTTTCCAAGGGTATTTTGCATGATGATGATGCTATGTTATTGTTTTTCAGTTTTTCTTTGATGGTAGAGTATAGTCCACTGAAAAGGTAACTGAGTGATTCTTTTATTGTGTGAGAAACTGAACATTGCAATGTGTTGCAATCAAATCATATTAAATTATATTATAAAACAGAGCTCTGAATATACTGTGCAATGACAAAGCTGAGAAAATAGGGTAAATTCAGCTATCATAACAAAAAGGTTGAGTTAGATTTTTTACAGAATAGCGATCTCACATGAAAACCTGTGTACAGATATTTTAAGTATATAAAAATCAGATTTAACACATTTATTTTTGGAAGTGTATGTTCTATAAAGTTCATATCAGGTTCCCCCTTTTGTTTCCTTCGTATAAAAACACCCATAAAATTAAAACTTCTGCTGTTGCTATTTATTGTTGAAAATAGCATACTTAACAGCAAAATGTCCTGGTTGCTGAGATTAGAGAAAATCTAAACAAATGGGGAGCCTTGAATCTATACGTATGCACATTAATACTTGATTGTGAATAATAATTTTAGAAGTTGTTTTTATACAACCTCATTGGTGATACAGATTGGTGCAGTAAATTACAATATTACGGTGTAGCATAGTGTTGATGCAAAATATGATTTGCGCTTTTTTTCTAGTTTTCAGAACTAAACAGTATTGCAAGACAGCTAAACCAATGAATGTGCAACTCTGCCGGTATTGTAAAATTCTGCTGACAACTGCAATATGCAAATATTAACATGGCACAATACATTAGCTCTTTAAAAAAATAAGAAAATGCGAAGCATTGGTGTGTATATGCTGGCAATCGATTGATATAATTTTGATCATGCCAAAAGCTTAAAGAAATAATTGGGCATGTATTAATATCCTATGAAAACTGAAGAAGCTACTCAAAGCCATGGCATGGCTTAGAAGATCAGATGTCTACTGTAGTTGTATCCATGGCTGATGCATCATTTTTCTCATGTACCTTGGCTCCAGCTATGTATTTTCTCATGTTTGGGAATACGGTGAGTAAAAAAAACAAAACCTGGCCTTTTACTCAGTGATCAGATTTAGCTTTTAAAAAAAAAACCTCTAGTAAAGTCATGGGATTAAAAGTACAATTAACTGTGTTGGATGACTTCAGGTCCTCCTCAGGGAAGGTGAGCTGATTTTGACGATACCGGTGAAGGTCATCTTGGAGCTTTTCCTTCCAGGCATATTACTGTACTTCACCCTGTCACCAGTTACCACCTGATAAATAATTGGTTTGAGTCTTTCTGATGCTGAGACTGCATCCTGTATGTTTCCTTGACATGGTCAATTGAAATTTTATGGGAGGAACAAGCGTTGTAGGATTAGGCCAATACGTACTACACCCATGGCTTTTACTTTAAGATTGCTTAAAATATTAGTTTGCATTTTGCTCTTTTAATTTCTTGAAAGATTGTCAGTATATTAAATTCTATATAGTTTCCACTTAGCTTCCCAAAAGAAACCCTTCATGTGAAAGGTACAATATTTAACATTTTGGAACAATTTGCTTATGCTGGTAGGCCATATTCTGAGTTACTTAATAAACATTTGATTAGTCTGTAGGCACAAAGAAAGATGGCACAAAGCCCTGCTGCCACAGAAAACAACTGGGGCTTTTGCTCTCATCCCATCGCCCTTAGAGTGCTCAAATACAAAAAGAGGGAGAAGCTCATGCCATGCAGATGCATTAGCCTTTTTGGGTTATCCAAAGAGGGAAATGTCCTTTGTTCCTCTCCTCTGCCCCTCTATATGACCTAGAGAAACATCTTTTTGTATAAATACTTAACCTTCCAGCTGTTATACCCATCTGATAGAAAACTCAGGATCTTGGCCCTCCCAGAACGGCTTAGTACTGTCCCCATAGAACTCAACAAACTCAATTCCTTAAACAGGAAAAAAAGAAATTTTGGCTTCTTTTTGCAGAAAGCAATATATATTTTGATTATATCCAAGTGATGGTCAAGATTTTTTAAAGTGCACTACCTAGATAGCTGCAAATGACAAAACACAGATAGAAAGTGCGATGTAAACTTCAGCTATCACAAAATGTGAATACAGTTCTATTGGAAATAACTTCCATGAATAAATACATATTCTCATGCAGAAGAGTATCCTTACTCTCACATGATGCATAATAGTCATTTTCTCTTGTCTGTGAGAGAAGAAACTTGATCCTAGGCTTTAAACTGAGACATTTTCAAATTACAATATGTTGTAAAAAGTTTTTTTTAAAGCCAGATAAAAAGCTGTGTTGATATTTGCTCAGATCCTTTAAATAGCACTAAGGGAACTGTTGGGACTGTTTCAGTTTACACAGAAGTCATGCAGCCTATTGTATGTCTGACAAATAACCACCATTAAAGTTGTTACAGCATGGTACTGTGCAAAACATGATCTGAGGACTTAACATGAAAGGTTTCTTTCTAGTTTTTCATTTAAACAACCAGCATTACTGCCAAAACACTTACCGTGGTCCATATTTGTAACAGGTTTTTAACATGACATAGCAGATTTGATTGACAAGATTTTTAGGTCCTGTACCTTTACGACTTTAGTATGATCTTTTTCATGTTTCTAATGCTTGAGGCTTTACTGCTTAACTTGACAAAAAACAGTGTTGCTGCCATTTGTAAGTTTTCCTATAATATTCCTTTTACTAACTTAAAAACTGGCCTTACTGGGTTCAAATAGGCAGTATCCCTTTCAAGTGACCTTTGCAACCCAAGTGTTACTTGCTGTGGTTGAGAGTTTTTCGGTATCACTGAAGAGACGTTAAGACCTTTTGTTCCCATTAACACCTTAGCTCAGAAAACGTGCTTGGTATGTCTTAATTTCAAAACACAACCTCAGTCCTAAAAATTCAGATGCTAGCACGCTGGATATTAGGAAGTATATTAATGCTTACAAGTCACCGCAATGCACTCGGGTGTTTTTGGAATGTCGACTGGAGGTGAAATCTTAGTAACTCCTTCCTTAGGATAAATTTTACCCTAGTTTCATCAGAAGTCTAAGCCTTTACCAAAGGCCAGATTTATTATTTTTTTCATACCACAATGTTAATATTGTTAATACTCATTGTACACTACTGTAAAAAGATTAAAACAAAGTGTCTGAAAACAATTCAAGAGTTTTGAAAAGTTAGCCTCACCCTCTTCCCAGCTACTTGCATCTGTCCTGTTTATGGTTTAAAAGAAAAACATCATCTTGAAGAAATAATTTCACTGAGGCTAAAGGGATACTGTCTTGTTCAGATGCCATGAAATTGCGATTGTGATCTGACAAAGCTGTCTTCTCTTCTTGTGTTGTATGGAATGTCTGGATCATGCTTTCTGGGATATTTTTATTGAAATGCTCAGTGTGCGTTTCTGCAAATCAGGCTTGATTGCTCTTACAAGGCAAGCAGGTCTTTCTCCCTTTTCTTGTGTTCTCTTGACACTTTTGTGGAACTTGACAAGCCTGGAAAAATAATTTTTGTAAAAATTTGTACAATAATGTTATAAAAAGTTTATAATCCTAGAACTGTTGTGTTAATTCTTGTGCAAAAACAGTATATTCAGAATAAAAGTTTATCATTTAAAATCAACAGCTACTTTGATTGTTCACTCTGTGTAATAAAAAAACATAAATAAGAGCCTACATAATTTGCTATATCATACTTCTGAGTTTGCTAGGTCATACTTCTGAGTATGCTATGTCATACTTCTGAGTTTGCTATATAATTGCACCCAAGTGTCTGAAAGAGAGGTTTTCCAATGTGGAGACGGGGACTTAACACACTTCTGACTGGGGTTCAAAGGAGGACGAGCAGCAAACCCTCATTTCTGCTTCATTTGTGGCTGTGAAAATTTCAAAAAAGCTAAAAAAATTGTAACCAACGAAAACTGAGAGTCTGTAAAGCACTCAGTAAAATAATAGTCTGCAAAGCATCTGAAGTAGCCCTGTTGTTCTGAACAATTGATTTTGGAAGGATTGCCATTTACTAACTTGTAAACATTAAAGTCCAAGGGTTCATTTACATGAAGCAGCAGAATAAAATCAGATGGCTTAGATGGGTGCTGCCCAAGTTGTTGCCCGACCTCTGACAAAGATTGCTGCATGATTTATGAATCATCTTCTGTGCTGCTGCCATTCTCAGCTAAGTATGAAATTCAAAGTGGATCTATGTACCTGAATAAACAGGCTTGAGATGTTCAGGAGTTGCTTCACTGGGTTTTCAGGCTTACTGTGGTGGCACTGGCAACCTCCGTCAGAAGGGCAGGGCAGATGGCTGCAAGTGGTATCTGCTTTAGAAGCCCAATTTTAATCCTTGACTGCGTATGTGTCAAAGCCCAAAGAGAATGGCAGTTATAAATTACTGCTGGATTTACCGAATCCCCGAGGAGTCAGATAAGACAGTAAGAAATCAAATGCAGATTCCAACGCTGCAAAGTAACAGATCGCCCATGTGGAAATGCTAAAAGGCAGCACATGACACTGCACATCAACATCCAGAGATTACTGGCCTC